TGAGCCTGCACGTCCGGAGCCTGTGCTCCGAAACGGGAGAGGCCACAACGGTGAGAGGCCCGCATACCGAAAAAAAAAAAAAAAAATTCTGGAGATGGATGGTGGTGATGTTTGCACGGTGATATGAATGTACTTACTGTACATTTAAAAATGCTTAAGACGGTAAATTTTGTGTTATGCGCATTTTACCACAATTAAAAATTTTTTTTTGAAAGTGTGGGTTTCCAGCTCCTTCTCCCCACCCCAGATTCTAATTTCGTAGCTCTGGGGTGGGGCTCTGGAACTTATATTTTCACAAGCCTCGCATGCAGATGGTCTCAATCAGGCTTTGGAACCAACTGCCTTGAGAACTCATGCTTCCTTCCAGGCTCACGTTCTCAGAGTCTATGATCAGGGCTCGGCTGCACAGTCAGATCTATACCTCCATGAGTACTGACATGTATACGGGACTGTCCCCCAGTCTGACCCCCCCCCTTAAGTGGTCCCTGCCTCCCCTCCGGGCTCCCCTCTGGGCCCTTCCCTTCCAGTCAGTGTGGCAGCGAGAGCTGGCACTCTCATACCCCTTACCCCACAGACATCTGACCACCTGGCCAGGGCCTCCAGTCTCCCCTTTCTCTCCTGGCTTCACTGATTCCAATGACTGACCCCCAAACCCTCCCATTCACCTCCATTTTCGTGCCATTAGGGCACCATACTGTTTTTGTTCTCCAGCCTAGAAAGAAGACTCCTGCCAGCATGGCCATGCGGCTACCCACACCCTGCAAGCTGGGCTCCAAAATGGTAGCATCTTTCGTTAGATGGAATCACGCCGAAGTCTGACATAATATGAGCCGGACCCTAAGTCCGACTTCCACATGGTTGCCTTGGGTACCTCTCTTTTTCCATCTACAACATGGGGTGAACAAGGTCTGCTCTGGCACTTGGAAGGGCTGAAGAAGGTTTGGGGGAATAAAGGCACCACAGAGACCTAGGGCTGCCTGGGCCCACCAGCCCCCAGCCCGCTGCCCCCTGCCATCCGGCCCCTTGACCATACCTGAAGCCCTGGGGGCAGATGCACGTGTAGCCGTTGACCGCATCCACGCACTGGGCCCCATGGCGGCACCTGTGGGCTGCGCAGTCATCACTGTTCACCTCGCAGAGCTTCCCGCTGTAGCCAGGGAGACATTCGCACCTGGAACACAGTGGAGCGAGGCCGTTCTACGGGCTGGCCGCCGGCTTCTAGGCAGCCTCTCCTCTATCTACCCACGTAGCCAAGTCCCCACAGCTCTTGCGGGCTCCCCAAGGCCTGGCCTGCAGTGGGTCTCATGGGCTGTCCACAGCCTCTGGTCACTGCAATCCGATGTCTGCCTGCTTCACATGGGGCATCTTGTCAGGAGCTGGCTGAGGAGTGCAGGGCTGCGGTCACACAGGTTTTGGCTTGGATCTACCACTGTCTACACAGAACTAATATTCAGCCTAGCCTGCCTTTGTGCCAGGCACTGGGCTAAGCACCTTTCACAGAGTGCCTTGCTAAGGCCTCCCAGCACCCTGTGAAGGAGGGTCAGTCCCCCTCCAATACCAGGAGGAAACCAGGGCTCCAGGAGAGCTGACCTGACTCCCTGCGGCCCCCACCGTGTAACACTCACGTGTGTCAGTGATACGTCGTTTACACTTAACGTGTGTCAGACCCTGTTCCCGGTGTGTCTGCCACTCACTGCCTCTCTGTGTTTCAGTTTCTTCACTTTTCAATGTGACTGATGATCAATAACTTCACCTCTTACGGTGGTTTTAAAAATTAAGTGATACACTCTGTGCAGGCACTAGATCCACAGTGAGTAAACAGTCAGTGTGATATGTAGAAGGTGCTGATAAGGATGATGAAGAAACGATGCTGTTGGCACTCCCTTTGATTCTAGTCTATTGTTTGTTCGTTTTTTTCCCCAGGGATTCGGGCTGATATAAGAAGGTGAATCCCTTTGCCCTTGATAAATGCCTCCTGGTCTCCAGGGGAGAGGATGGGAGCTACTGACCCAACCCAGGCCCTGCAGGCCGCCCCGCCCCTCCCTGAGGAGCACGGTGTCAGCAGCTCCATCACGTCCTCGCTGGCCCAGGTTTCAACCCGGCCAGAGATGGCTGCTGCCGCAGGTCTCCCTAAACATGGGCCTGAGACACACATCTCTGGGCTCCTCTATCTGGGGTGACAATGTGCCGAAGTCCCAACAAGGAAGAGACCAAAGGTACCACCTTACTCACAGCGGCTTCAGCACACAGGCACGTGTGAACACAAACGCTTCCTGGCCCCTCTACCTCCAGCAGGGCCTGGAGCCTGCACACCTCTCTGGGCTCACTGGCTGAATTCTGCTGGGCGGAGTGTAAATAATAACCACCTACCCAAGTCAGAGGAGGAAGGTGGTACGGGCAGGGGATGGTGTGGTACGGGTGGCCAGGCGGGGAGGGAAGTGAGACCTTGGAATACTTATGTGACACGGGAGCCTGATGGGGAAGCATCAGGACAAAGGGATAGTCGTCCCTCCGCCCTCTCCTCACTCCACCCCCTTTAGGATGGCTGGAAGTGGGCTGGAATCACAAGTAGATCCTGGCAGTGCTGGGGCTGCCAGAACATGGTGCATGCTGTGGATTCAGCATGGCAAGGTAAGATACTCAGGGGGTGGGGTGTCCCTGGAGGGGGGCGGGTTCCAGAATCTGAGGATTTACTGGACCTGCGTCCAAAAGCTGTGAAATCTGCTAAGATCTGACCTATTTACCTTTACTTATTTGATGGGTAAATTTGAAATATGTGACCTACTGCTGCACCAGAAGGTGCAAACTTTCACGTCTCAGCCCCCATTCCTTCCTAGTCTTTTAAAGGAACGGCTCGGGGATGCCTTTTGGGGGCACATGCTCAACACATCACAGGCCAGGCCTCTGCTAGGGTTAAACCTGGCCCCAGCAGGCATCTGTGTTTGTGTCTCCTGAATTCTAAGAAGGACCTGCAGAGCAACTCAAGCTGTATGAGCTTCTCCAAGGCGATAATAGCTGCTCACTACTTACAGGGCAAAACCCAGCCTGATACGCATGGAACTCGAGGCGACTGAGCAGGTCTTTACGAGGAATTAGGGAAGCCGTGCTCCCTCGCAGATGAAGCAGTGGAAGTCTGGAGGGAGATGTGTTTACATCCTTCTTTTCTCCCAGTGCTACAGCCCTCTCCACACCTGCGCTTCCTAAACGAGACACCCAGGGGTCTTGTTAAAGTGCAGCTTCGGATTCAGGGAGTCCTGGTGGGGCCTGGGGATTAGCATTCCCAACAAGGTCCCGCGGGATGCTGCTGCTGCTGGCTCATGGACCTCACCTCCAATAGCAAGGATCTCTACAATGCTTCTTCATCGGCCAAAGACGAGCATCTGGTGGTACACCCTGCATCCCCTGTTGTCCTCAAACGTGCTGCCTTTACCTTTTTTCTAAAGCGTGTAAGGGTTATGCAGTTTTGATACGCATTCGACCTACTGATTCTGGACGAGGAGTAACCACGTGACTTCAGGAGCCTCTGGATTTAGCCGAGGAATCAGTCAGGCCTGGATTGACTCGCATCCCTTCCTGTGCACGTGTGTCGGCTGCGTGCTCCACCTCACTGAGCCTCAGCCCCACATAGGCGGTGGGTAACAGTTTCTACATCCTAAGATTGCTGAGTGTTACGTGAGATAATGCACAGTGCCTGACACAGAGGGAGTGTTCAGTGCATGCTAGCCACTGCCATCTTTGTTTCTGTTATTATTTTCAGTGTGTACGGGCAGTGTTCATTATTATTTTCAGGGCTTCAGTATATTATTACTTCAGTGTTCATGTCACAGATACTGATAGAGTACTATCTGTTCTGTTGAGTTGAGGCCTCATTAGAACAGCATACAAGGAAATCCCGAAGGATAAACATCTTCAAACTTGGGCAAAGGTTGCACTGACTGCACATCTCTTTTGTTAATGCCCCTGTTGCCTGCCTTGGGATGTGAGTTGTTATGGTGATGGCAGGGGAGGGCGATAACATTATAAAATGCTGCACTGGGAGAAGGGACTTTTCATTTAAATGCATCTCAAAAAGAAAAAAAAAAAAAATCAACATTAGTGAGTTGGCCTGTAGACCTCTTCAAGATTCTAAGAGACACTGTGCATAAATATATCAATATTATCTCAAGATTTTGAAAGCGAGACTGGTTTCTATATTCTATATTGTTCTTGAACTCAAGGGGTCTTGGTTACAGTAGAGAGAGTTTCCAGGGACAAATAGTAGAGAATTGTGATCTCTGGTCCTAAGTCTCTAGCACCCCATTCCCAGACCTGTACCCTGGACCACTTCTGACCAGTCTCCAAGCTCGCTATGCTCGTCCAAGCCAGCTTCCTCTGAGCTTGCTGTCCCCTCAGCCTGGAATGCCACTGATCTCCTTTCCATCTACAGATATTCTACCCACTCTTCACAGCTCAGATGCCCAATCACCATCACTGCCCCTTCTTCTTAGGTACACCCAAAGCACTTTTCCTGTCAGTCCAGCCGGCTCAGCTTTGGGTTCCAGTTTGTGTTTTAAGCATCTCTTCCTACCCCTTTGCTCTTCCTTCAGTTAAAAAGCAGCCCTGATCTGAAGTCAAATCCTGGAGTGGGAAAAGCAGGGTGGGGGGGAGGCATCCCTCGCTCTCACTCAAGCTCAGGGAACTCGATTATGTGAAAGCCCACCCGGCACATCTCTGAGGGGACGGGAGCAGGTAAGGCAGACGTGAAGGAGGGTGCACGCACCAAAGGACCGCAGCTTCCTTCGCTCCCTCTGAAGCCAGAGGTCCTACATGCCTCTTGCATTTTCCCTAGTGGTAAGCTCTAGGCTTGGGATATCCAGATAGAAAAGGAAAACACAGGGAGAGGCGTTGCGGCCCCCTCTCACCCTCACCTACTCTAGACTCCCCTCGCACCTGTGGGGCTTCCTCCTCCTCGCAGCGCATCCCAATTCCACCCATCCTTTGGTGGTCACTTCACATCCCACCTCCTAGGGTGGGGGGCTTCCCTCTCTGCTCCAGAAAGTTCTCCCCCCCCCTTAGACCCCCCAGCAGCACTCAGAGCCAGAATCTAGGGCCCTAGGAATTGCTTCTTTTCTTAACCTTTGTTTTGTGTCAACTTTTCCTCCCCCAGGTGCACGGCAAGGGCCTCGGAGGGAGGGAATTAAAAACCTCCTGCGCTACCCACTGTCTTCAGCACAGTGAGGATCTGGGGCCTGAGGGAGAGGGACAGGGAACAGAGAGGACAGACACAGAGGCTCAGAAAGAGAGACAGAGAGAGACTAAGAGAATTAAACCATGACTGGTCAGAGATACAGAAAAGCACATGGTAACAAACAAGTAACAGGCAGAAAGAGAGAGAGGAAAAAAAAATTGGAGGGAGCCCCAGAGTCTCTGCCTCAAACTCAGACTGCTGGAGCCGAGTCCTTGGGACCCGGCGCTGGGCATGAACGAGACTGACCTGAATCCTCTGTCCAGGGAGACGCACTTTGCCTCATGCTGACAGAGGTTCATCCCAGGCACGCAGTGGTCGATCACCTCATCGCACAGCTCACCTGGTGGGGCGGGTAGAGAGAACCCAGGCATCAGGGAGGGTACCGAGGGGATGCCCTGGCTAGAAGTCAGGTTCATCCAGCCCCCGGCCAGGAGGTCACGGGTATCAGGGGCCCTGCATTTGCTCTTTTGGCGTCTCCTTTCTCCTGTGCCTCAGCCTCGATATCCCTGGCAGTGACCATGGGAAGACTGCAGGACCTCACCCGGGCACAGTCACTGCACCACCATTTGGCTATCTCACTTGATTATTTAGGGGCGGCGGCAGCTGAAATCACCCCCGACCTTGGGCTATGCTTATTTATTTTTCCTTCCACACCCATATGTGGAGCACCTCCTGTGTGGCAGCACTGTGCTGGGGACACAGCCGTGACCTGGCCCTGTCCCCCCTCCCCACCATGGCTAGTGCGGGGGGGGGGGTATCTACAAATAAGCAGGCAATTAATTATAATACAGAGCTGTCAGCGCGACGACGGGGAAACTCAGTGGAAACCCAGAGGCTTCTTGGAGGAGGGGACAGCACTTAGCTCAGTCCACCTGTTACAGATAAGTAATAAGCCCCTTGGATTTTCTCAGAGAAGAAAATATGGAAAGAATGTGAAGTTCTGGTCTCTGGATACATCCCCTTTGAAATTCACAAAGCAGGCAATAATACAGAGCTGTCAGCGCGACGACGGGGAAACTCAGTGGAAACCCAGAGGCTTCTTGGAGGAGGGGACAGCACTTAGCTCAGTCCACCTGTTACAGATAAGTAATAAGCCCCTTGGATTTTCTCAGAGAAGAAAATATGGAAAGAATGTGAAGTTCTGGTCTCTGGATACATCCCCTTTGAAATTCACAGTGTCAGAAAATGCCTAACAGGCCATAAATACCCAAAGATATAAGCCCTGAAATGCTCACACCACCTGAAATTGTGTTTTGGGAATGCGGGAGGTAAGATAGGACTGCAGGGGAGAGGTCCCTGGCAGATGCATCTCTGAGCTTTGCACTTCCTCACATTCCACCCCCCCACCCCTGGCAAGCCAGGTGGAGAGGGATCTAGAAGAAACAAACTTCCAGCCAGGGAGGTTCATTCAGAGGGCAGGCGTGGGCAGGAGAAGGCAGCCTGGGCCGTGGCTCCCAGGGGACAGGGCAGAGGACGGTCCTGGGGACGGCCGGGGAGTAAAAGCATGACAGGCATAGCCCCGGCGTCTGTTCTCTGTTGCGGTGAGGATAAGCTGACTCCCACCCCGTCCTCATTTTGCCCCGGTCTCTCAAGACCACAGAGAGCACTGTGTGCCTTCTAAGCCTCCCCTCACCTGATGGAGACACCCAGAAGAGGTACGGTCTCTGTGGGGGACACTTTTTGACGTTTCCTGGCACAGACAAAACCACTACGTCCCATTCTCAGGAACAAAGTACAACAAGCCAGAACTGCACCCCGGTCCACGGCAGACGCAGGCGGGAAACCGCCTTAATGCATGTTTCCTCAGCTCCCTCCACCCGTGCCCATCTGCCCACCGTCAGTTCAGACCCGAACGGAGCATGACCACAATGCAAGTGCCTCTGTGCCGGCTTCAAACGCCACCAGGGCTCCAGGGTTCCCGAAGGAGGGGCTGAACATGAACCAAATGAACAGACAGCCGAAAGGGCCCTGGGGACCTGTTCAAAGTGGGGAGGAGCTAGTGATTTGCAGGGGGCGGGTGGGGGGGTGGCAGAGGGTAGACAAGCTAGAAGAGACAGGGCCTCTGGGAAGCCCCTCATGACACAGTACCAGGTTGTGGGGGTTCAAGATTTTGTCCAGGGGGGACAGGAGGTGGAGTCTTTGGAAGAAGCTAAGAAAGTGGTTCTTCGAACGCACGACAAGCCACAGCCTGCACACAGCAACCCGCGCTCTGGCGTCAGGGGGCTCACCTGTGTAGTCTGGTGGGCACACACACACATAGGTGTTGATCCCGTCCACACAGGTGGCGTTGTTCTCACAGTCGCTGTCCTCGCAGTCGTCTGGGTTGATCTCACACCGCTGCCCCTCGAAGCCCAGGGGGCAGGAGCAGCTATGGGGATGTGTGGGTGCGAAGAGGGGAGCCGCGGGTCAGGGAGAGGGGTGGGTTGGAGCGGCAGAGGGGAAGGTGGAAAATAGAATCAGTCAGGTTTCTCCTCTGGATGGAGGTCCCGGACAGCACGGTGGACCCAGGAGGTCTTGGGGTCCTGAGCAGGAAGACCCTTAGGAGCCTAAGAGGGCATTTCATCTAGCCCCCTGTCTCCGGGCAGTATTCCATCTCCCCGGCCCTGGATGGCTACCTCGCTAGGCGGCAATTCCCATCGGCCGTGCCGCTTTCACCGCTCCCCCAGCTGGATGTAGTTTCTGGGTAGAGCTTAAATTCCTCCAGCTGTCTCCTAAGCAGCCTCTGGGTAGTCTCTTTTGTAGACAAGGAGAGAAAAAGTAAAACGAACCCTGCCCTTTTGGTGATTTTCTACTCAAGGGCAGCCTTTGTACCTGGAGCAGGACATAGATCAGGCTCCGCAACCAGGTTTCTTGGGAGTTAAATTCTGCGTCTCCGTTTCCTCATCTGCTGACTGGTGCTATTATCTACCCCCTGCAGGGTGGCTGCAGGCATTAAATGAGATTATACAAGTAAAACGCCTAGAAGGGTACACAGCACAGCGAAAATGTTCAGAACATGTTAGCTAGATTTAGTTCTAGGCAAAACTACCCACCTCCTTAACCTTATTCTCAGGGATGCCATTTCTCCCTGTCAGGTATTCCTGCTACTTCTGAGCCCCCTCCAGCTTCTGGGGGCTGAGGGAAGGGTGGGAGGGCCCCTCTCCTTCCAACACTTTCTGGTGAGCCTGGCTTAAAACACCATAGATCAGTATGATGCATTTCCTTAACCTGTCTCTGGAGTGTTAAACCTCTTGGATAAAAACCTCAACCCCCGACCTTGGCCACATCCCCAGGATTAGGCATGCAAAGTATGTCAGCACTGATGAAGTCAGTTCTGGGCAGCTGACAAGGGGCGGGGGGGGGGGGGGTGGGGGGAGGGATGGAGTGGGAGTTTGGGATTAGCAGGTGCATTCTATATAATAGAATATCCAAACAACAAGGTCCTACTGTATTGCACACGGAACTGTATTCAATATCCTGTGATAAGGGGGGTGGTGGGCGCTGGGAGGATGCAGGTGGGAGCCGAGTGTTTGATTAAAGAAGCGCTGCAGGGAATCTCACTCTTTCTGTGGCCCATCCCCCCTCGTCAGGGACCAGGGACATACACCTCCATCCAGCCTCAGACCTGGAATTCCAGGCCTCTCTCCATTTCAGAGACTGCTCTGACTTGGGCAGTTAAGCTAACGAAACTAAACTAATAGGAAGTGGATTTTTGTGGTCCTAGAATCCTAAATAACCTCCTTCCCTCTATGACCTGAAAACTGGGTCACATTTTCTACAAAAGGCTGGAGGAAGGGTCCTTGGGTCTGAGCTCTTGAGCTGGAGCAAAATGACTCTAAGTCCTTTTTGTTTCTCTTAGGGACCCTGGCCATCCATGAAAAACGTCATTTCTTCAGAGCCAGACAGTGGGTAGTTTTCCAAAGATCTTAAACCACAGTGTTGCCTATTTTCCTCAAATGAGTTACTCTGACTCTCCCCGGAGCCTTAAGACTGCATAAACGTGGGGTGAGAGTGACTGGTCAGGAGAGCAGGGGTTGCTCATGGACTGGACAGAGGGTGGGAAAGAGGCTCAAGTTTTTTTCTGTCCTCGCTGGAAACCTTACAGGAGGTAGGGGCAGTGGGTGGGTGGGGGGGTTTGGAGCTATCAAGGACATCTCAAGAGCAATGTGTTAGCTGTAGGGACAGCTCTTTTTTGAGCAGAGGAACGACGTGTCAAGACCGGAGAAGCATCTGTATGAAGAGGTAGGTGATGCTTCCAGAATTCTGACCAGTAAGAGGTGTCATGGATTGAATTGTGTCCCCTCGAAAAGATATGTTGAAATCTTAACCGCCACCCCCCCCCCCCCG